TCAAATTTTTTGCTGATTACATCACAAAAGGAGATGAGTTGACATCCCCAGTGGAATAATTCATAATGAGAAGAATTTGTTCGTTCAACATTTCCATCTTAATCAAGAGAAGTCAACTGAACAAAAATTTATTGTCTTTTCGTCTTTGCCCTATTCTTGTTAACACAAGAATGTACAAAGAGGGGCAGCTGTAGACATTAAATTTTTTCCTATTTTATTTTTATTATTTTTATTATTTTTATTATTATAATTGTTATAATTATTATAATTATTACTATTATTATTATATTTTTATTAATAAATATTATTATTACATATTACAGGCCCAATACCCGGAGCCCAATTACAACAGTACCCAATATTCCAGACCCAATACCTAGAGCCCAGTTCTGGCCCAACTGAGCTAGCCCAATGGAAACCCTAAATTGATTAGGGTTTGATCTCAGCTCCAGCCGCCAGCAATCATCCACCGTTGGATCTGATAAGATCCAACAGTCCAGAAGCCTTCAGCTGAAACCCTAGGGTTATGATACCCTAGGGATACGCGGCCGCTGCCTCTATTATCGCCGCTCCATTCTACTTCATATACTGCCACGACGCCAGCCGAGAGCCTCCAGAAGATTCAAAACCAGCCATCCACGTTAAAGGCCACTGTGAGTCACCACTAAAGTTTGGTGACTCACCAAACTGCCACTCTATTATCCGGTCCAAGATGAGCGCCGGTGATGGCTATAAAGCCATCAACCGAACCTGCAAAGAAAAACCAAAGAAGGAAGGAGCAACCTAGCAACCATAAAACACCAAAATAGCAAGGAAAATACGAGGAATACTTACCGAGGAAGCCCCGCCATCACCGGAGTTCACATGAGCCTCCAAGCATCACCAAAGGCCTTCGAAAACCTGAAGGTATTTTCATAAATTTGCTCCGATCCGATCGGGAGTTTTTTTAAGAAAAATGGTCATCGGAACCGTCATTAGGACGGTTCGATCTACATTTTGGTGTAAAATAAAATTTTTCGGCCACTGGATGCGATAGCCGGCGGTGGGGTCAACGTTGGCAGACGGCTGCCGTTCGGTGTCATATCTCTCTGTTTTAGAGAGAAGCGAGAGAGAAATTTATTCTCTCAATTTAGAGAGAGAATGAGAGAGAATGAAATGAAGGCTTTGGCCTTAAGGCCGTTCGGTTTTGGGTTTAAATACCCCTACCCGAACGGCGTCGTTTTAGGGAGGGGTATATGCGTAATTATGTAAAAAAAATTTAGGTAAACTGTACCCGCTGCCATCACAGTTCTGTAATCTTACATTTTAGTCACTAAAGTAAATTTTAGATCCTCTTAATTCAGTATTCGAATTTTATATATATTCATTTTAGCCCTTTACATAAAACAATATATATTTTAGGTAAATGACAAATTTAGTCCTTTGATTTTAGTAATTAATATTTTAACCCCGAATAATAGGTTTTAATTTATTTTAATTTGATATTTGAATTTAATATAATTTTATTTTAGTCCCTAAATTAAATAAATGAAAAATAGCATGTTCAATCCCTATAATTTTAAATAAATTAATTGTGAATTAGATATTTAATTTTAATATATTCTAATTTAATCATTAACTTTAAATTATTAGTTTTTATTATTTTTTTTTACTTTCATTTATTATAGTTATTGTTTAACTTTTATATGATTATTATCAATATATTTAAAATATTATTATTATTATAAATATTTATTTATTTTATTTTATTAAATCCTTTATATAAATTATTTTTATTCTATTTTAATTAAAGAAAAGGGCTGTCTTAAAGCACATAGAAGTCCGTTTTCTGACATTTTTATCTTATAAAATATATATTAATTGTTAAATATTTTATTAATATTTATTTTTTTTAATATCGAAGAAAAGAACTGTCTTAAAGCACCTAGAAGTCCTTTTCTGATATTTCTAAATAGATAAATATCTTATTTATATTTAAATTAATATATTTTCATAAAATTATAAATTTGAAATAACAATATTATAAAATAAATATCTCTTTGAATTTTTAATTTTCAGATAATAGAGACAATTTATAATTAATGAGTACCAGATTTTGGGCGTTATAGGGGTGCTAATCCTTCCCTAAACGTAATCGACCACGAATCATATTTTACTAAAATTTTTAGTTATACACAGATCAATTTTATCTTTTAAATTATGTTTTATTCAAAACTATTTTAAAAGATTATTTTTAGGTATTTGACCTACCTAACCCAAAAAGGCTAATGGCGACTCCCAAAATATTTTTTAAATTAAAATCATTTATTTATTCGTTTACGACATACTCCATACAAAAATTTTTAATAATTAATATGGGTGTCTACCCTAAAAAAAATATTTCTAGATCCGTCACTGTTTTCGACTTATGAAATAAAATTAGTTTAATTTTACATAATAATTTATACTTTTAATGTGAAAATAAATAGATTCTAAGTTTAAAATAGTTATAAGCAATAAGTATTTGATGCTAGATAACATAAACCTCTTTGCATTGAAAGAGAACTACGTCGTTAAGCGTTTTGTGTGTTGGGTGTAGAGTATAGGGCTGTAAATGAGACGAGACAGATCGTGAGCTATTCGAGATCGACTCGATCAAAGCTCGATAAATATTCGGATCGAATGGACTCGACTCGAGCTCGAGCTCGACTCAAGTTCTTAACGAGCTGAAACGAGCTACTCGATATTCGACTCGAAAAGCTCGTGAGCAGCTCGAAAATATTATATATTAAGATTTTATTTAAAAAAATAAATTAATAATAATATTAATATTTATGTAATGATTTTTTTTTAAAAATACAGTAAGATTTCATGTATTTAAGGTTCATGTTCGACTTTGAGGCTTCAATCGAGTTAAGTTTAAGAATTGTTTTTCATTTCGAGCCTTTTCGAGCTACTCACGAGCTTCAGTTCAGGATTTTAAGTTCGAATCGAGCTTGAAAATTTTAAACTCAAGTTTTTTCGAATCAACTCGAACTCTATTTCAGAATTTTTGAATCGAGTCGAGCTCAACAATACTCAAACTCGACTCGACTCGTTTACGTCCCTAGAATACACAATACTTGGTTTACGCCATATGGTTGGAAGACAGCGTCACGTGATATATAGTTGATAAATCAACATTCTGTTTTATCAAACCGTAGCCGCCACTTGTGTGGTTCGTGTTAGGCCTACGTCACTTCCATGTCGGACCACTTTGGTGGGAGAATATTTCTAAGGTTAAACTACACTCGTTATCCCTTTTATTTTTCTCTATCTTATTTTAGTCACTGTTTTGAAAAAGTAATATTTTGGTCACTTGTAGGTTTATTTTATAACGTGATACCTAGTAAAACGGTTAAATTTTATCTTGACTCTTGAATTTTAAATAGAATAATGTTTTGACTCTAAACTTTTGACAAGATATTAATTTAACCCTTAAACTTTAAATGAAATATCAAATTAACTCATGAGTCTAATCAAAGTTTCCACATTCAATAGCTGTTTATCATCATTGTCAGTCACAATCAACTGTTATCACCAACAATCGTTGGACCATCAAATATTTAGTTAACTCTTTTTTTACGTGAATACGAATTTGATGTTTGTTTCACGAAAATATCTCAAACTCCACAAACTTAAACTTTTGACCCTACACTTTTTGATAAAATATTAATTTAACCATTAAACATTAAATAAAATATCAAATTAACACCTGAATCTAATCAAAGTCTCCATCATTGATCCTTGTTCATCACCATCACCGGTCACCATCAATTGTCGATACCGACAACTATTGAACTTTAAAATTTTTAGTTCACTCATTTTTACCTCGTGAATATGATTTTTTATGGTTGTTTTTGCTCGTTGTATACACCGAATCCCAACTCATTTGAACATGAAATAATTGGTTTTAATTGAGTTATATGCTTTAATTCAGTCAACTATCGGCCTACGGTAGTTGAATCTAAACAACTATATATATATATATATATATATATATATATAGGAAGAAGTTCAAACGGAACACAAATACAATGATCCAATGATGTAAATGAAGGGGGGAGGGGGGGACTTGCACTCGGATATATTAATACTGCATATACTTGCATACTCGCCAATAGAAAAATAAATTAAAAAAAATCAACACCAACTCCTTGCAAACCATCTATTTCACCTACATAGATCAAATAAGAAACAAAGCACTTTTTATTTTATTTGTCTAAAAAGAAAATCAAGAGTCATTTGAAGAACATTGAAAAAAATAAGCATATATTATATCAGATACCATCAAACTTTACGTGTTGTATCCTTTATACCACTTAACTTTTAATTTTTATCAATTATAACATCAAACTTTGATTTCGTTTCAATCATACCACTAAACTATTAAATCATTAATAACACGATGATGTGGATGAGGCTGCCGATCTGGCTAACGACTTTCGACGTAGACACATCACCAAAACGATATTGTTTTGATCCGATTGTTAATGATTTAATAGCTCAGTGGCATAATTGAAACTAAAATCAAAGTTCAATGTTATAATTAACAAAATTGGAAGTTCGATGATATAAACAATATAACGCCTACAATTTGGTGATATCTGATGTAGTTTAACCAAAATATTATATGCAATCATATCAATCCATTTTAATAAATTGTATATTATAATTTTATCAAAGTTAAAATATAAATTTATATAAATTAAAATATACCATTTATAAAAATTTTATATACATTAAATTATTATCATTATAGTAAAAACATATTATAATATAAATTTATTTTTTGGTGTTTTTATTTTTAAATGACGATAATGATAAATTTATTTATTATAGTTTATTTTTTAAAAAATATTTGAAGAGTTCTAGACTAATTTTCCTTTGACATTTTATGGCAAAACATATCTATTCGATTTAGGAGGTTAAAAATATCACATTTTTTTGTTGAAACATATCATATTCAACGATGGTTGACGATGACGATGACGATGATGGCAACCGAAGGTAGTCGAAAACGATGTTGAGTGATAGGGACTTTAATTGAATCTATAGTAAAATTAATATTTTAACTAAAGTTAAAAGGATTAAATTAAAATTTTATCTAAAGTTTATGTCAAATTAGCGTTATGTCTAAAACTCAAGGGTCAAAATAAAATGTTAGTCATTTTTATTAACATACCACATCATCAAACTCATTAACCAAAGTAAGACATATTGAGAACCAAAGTAACTAGCACATAATTTTTTTTTCAAAACTAATGATCAAAACAAGATAAACTAAAAATAAAATAGACCAACGCTGTAGTTTACCCATATTTCAATTATCTTGTATTTTGATTTTATTTAAAAAAAACATGATTTACTCTTTTTGAATAGTTGAGTTTTGCGTTAATTTTAATTTAAAATGATAATTTTATTATTATTTTCATATAATTAATTTATATTTTAAAAGGATGGAAATGGGCATATGGAATAATGACTTTGAAGTGATGGTAATTGGTATGATAAGATATTTTAATAATTATTTTAATTATAGTTAATATTTTAAAATATAATCTTATTTAGATTTATTGATATAATCTCACAGTAATTGTCATATTGGTTCGGATAAAATTGTTAAAAAATAAAAATTCAATTTGAAACCAAACCTTATCCTTTTTTTATCAATCTAAATCAATAATTTAAAGATAGACTTTGTATTATTTTGATTGCTCTATTAATTTTTTTTGGTGAAACTCTACTACGCTCTACGAGTATTGATGAGTACTATTAATTTAATTTATAAAAATTTTAAATTCTAAATAACTCAACGTATAATTATAAATTAGTTGAAAATTTAAAGGTAAATTATTTAAAATAAAATGTAAACTATAACAATGACCACCTAACTATTGTTCTTTTTTATTTTGACCACCAATTTTAAAATTTGATCAATCAGGTCACTCAACTATTTAAATGCATTCAATTAAGCCACTTGTCGTTAATATTTAATGGAAAATCTGATGTGACAATTAAAATATTTGATATTATTACACATTTGGTCCATGTTACTTACATATTCTATCAATTTGATCCTAATTTTAATAAATTAAAATAAATTTAACCCTCAAATCAAATGGAGACAAAGTAATTTTTATTCATCTTATTCTTTCAATTTGTAGGAAAACAACATTAAAAAAATAAAAGAAAACTTACAAAAAATTTATTTCATTTTTGAGAAATTAAAAAAAATCAAACGCTTTGATTTCAAAAATACATCTATATTAAGTAAAATAAAAATTTATACTCTTAAAAATTAATCCAAAACAATTAGATTTTACTTATAATGCGAAGAATTAGGTAAAAGTAAAGTTATAATACTTGGATAGTTGAGTAATAAAAAATAAATATTTTAAACAAACGGTCTAAAAGTAATTACAAAATAAAATAAATCATCTAATTTAAACTCCTAAAATCATTGAAAGATATAATTTAAACACATAAAACTGTCACACTAATTGTCTTGCGTTTATTAATGTAAAATATATTATTTTAAGCTAAAAAAAGAATATGGAGAAATGATGGAACGTCTCATCACAAAATATTGGCATGTTTATTTTACTTTATTATTTGAAATAATAAAAGAAAATAAAGAGAAAAGAAAAATTGTACTGGCTGACATTAAATTGGATTCCTCTCCGATTAACTACTTTGGCATATTTGATGGTTAAGTTTATTTTAGGCATAATGCAAACAAATGCCCCTAACGTTTGACAATATATGCAATTTCCCCTATTTTTTGAAACATTTGACCCACACGTTTCATTTTGGATCAAAAAGTACCCTCGTTGGATGAAAACCGTTAGTCAACTAACGATCAACGCCTGAAGCTGACTCGACAAGAATATGTGGAGGGAGATGCTGACGTGGCATGTCCATATCATAGTAGATGATGATGTGACATATCCACGTAGACTAAATGCTGAAGTGATATGTCCACGTATGATGTCACATCATTATTTTTTTTTTAAATTAATTAATAATAAATAATTATTTTTTACTAAATTAATAGCAACGAATCAGATGTTGTCACGTGGCATATAGATTTTTTATTAAATTAAGAAAGGAGGGATTAAACCTCCACAAAATTTTACATCCAATGGGATTTGAACCTAGGTCTAAGGGATAAAAGGCTTGACGCCTAACCACCAGACCAAATGACTTGGTTGCTAATATTAGGCTAATAACATTATTTAAGGTTTATTGTAACCAATAAAACCACCACTAACACAAATAATTCTAACAATTTAAATCTAATTATAAAAAATGCTTGTGCTAGTGGTGGTTTTATTGGCTATAATATACCTTAAATAATATTATTAGTCTAATATTAACAACCAAGTGATTTAGCCTGGTAGTTAGGCGTCAAGCCTTTATCCCATACCCAAGTTCAAATCCCATGGTTGCAAAATTTGTGGAGGTTTAATCCCTCCTTTCTTAATTTAATAAAAAATTCATGTCAGGTGGCAACATCTGATTCGTTGCTATTAATTTATTAAAAATTATTATTTATTATTAATTATTTTTAAAAAAATTGCTGACGTGGCATCACAGGTGGACATGCCATGTCAACATTTAGTCTACGTGGATCTGCCATGTCATCATCTACTATGATATGGACATGTCACGTCAATATCTCCCTCCACATGTTCTTGCTAAGTCAACTGCAGATGTTGACTGTCAGTTGACTAACGATTTTCATCCAACGAGTGTCATTTTTGACCAAAATGAAATGTGGGGGGTCAAATGTTACAAAAAAACAATATGGGCAAAATTGCATATATTGTCAAACGTTAGGGGTATTTGTTTGCATTATGCCTTTATTTTAATTTATTAAAGTTATGACCAAATTGATAGAATATATAAGTAACATTGATTAAATGTGTAGTTATACCAAATATTTTAACAGTCAAATCAACTTTTCCATTAAATATTAATGACAAGTGGTTTTATTGAATGGATTTAAATAGTATTTGAGTGGCCTAGTTAACAAAATTTAAAAAATGATAATCAAAAAAAAAAAAGACAATAGCTAGGTGATCACTGATATCATTTTCCTTGAAATTTTCAACTAGTTTATAATTATTCGTTGAGTACTTTATAATTTTAACGTTTTATAAATTAATTTATCGGTGCTCATCGTCGCTCGTCGAACGTAGAAGAATCATCCAATTTTTTTGACAGTAATTACTCTATTAATTAGTTATTATCAATAATATTAATAAAATTGGATAGTTAAATACAATTGAATTAAAAAAATTTGTTGGCTTATAAATGATATTCAACACTAGCAAAAGACATGCTTAGCACTCACTAAATGAAGATCTTCAATGCCCACCTACTCTTATTGTTACATCAAATAAATATTTTGCAGTTTAGTAAAGAAACAGTACGCCGAGTTGTACCATTAAATTCTTAATAAATATTTCAAATAAACTTTTGGAAATATTCAAAAGAAGAATTAATGCCCATCTACTCATTCATTATATTACGAATTTGGGGGAAATGCCACTTTTATTTATTAATTACCATAAAGGAATATGGCTAGCATGATCTTTAGGGGGTGTTTGGTTCAAGGATTGTGGGATTCTCATAGGATGGGAATCCCACATTCCGATGTTTGATTGGTTGGGAATCTCATTTCCGGTAATATTTTATTATCAATAGTAGATTTTTTGGGGTATATTACCGGGAATGTCATTACCTCTCTTCCCTTAGGTATTGTAATATTACCGGCGTTTTGAACTAAAATGCCCTTAAATTTTTTTTTTTTTTCCAAAATATCCTGATTATGTCATTGAATAATAAAAATTCTACGATGATTAAATTATAAATTTATCCTTAAATTATTTAAATTTATAAAAAAAATCTATAAATAAATTTTATATGAAGTTTAGGGATTAAATTTTTTTTAACCTTTCATTAAACCTTTTTTATATTTTTTATTTTGTAAAAAAAACTATATAAATATTATAAATTTAATTTTTTAAAGAAAATATATAAATATTTTACAATTTGTAATATTATACAAATATATAATAAGTATAATTTGGTCAAATATAAATTTCAATAATCTTTTATTTCTTTAACCAAACACGATAGTCTTACATTCCTGCTAAACAACCAAACAAAAAATACAACATTCCCAGTAATCCTATTCTCGGGTAATCTTTTATTCACACTGGTAATCTTACATTCCGTGAACCAAACGCACCCCTAAAGTCGGACGTTTCTCCCCTCTTATTCAAACTCCAATCTAAATAATTTATTGAGAAAATAACCTCAGTGACCAAAAATCCCATATAATATACGATTTTAACCAACTTTTTCCGGATTTGCCAAAATGACCAACAAAATCGCAATGCGATCGCTAATTCGCAACGCGATCTCCATTATCGTAAATTCGCGTTGCATTTCGCGTTGCGATAGTTGAAAATCGCGTTGCGATTGTCTACAGTATCGTTGCGATTTTCCCAATTCGCAATGCGAATAAGTAAATCGCAACGCGAATTGGGAAAATCGCAATGCGATACTGACTATCGCAATGCGATACTGACTATCGCAATGCGATACTTACTATCGCAATGCGATAATACAAAATCGCAACGAGATACTGACTTTCGCAACGCGATTCTGACTTTCGCAACGCGATAATAAATAATCGCAATGCGATTTTCAAAGCGCCATTAGTATCCTGGCCAAGTATTTTATTTTTAAATTCCAAACACGAATATTAATATATTGGAACACTGAATCGTCCACAGTATATCCCGTAATCGCAACTCATAACCTAAAACCTAAAATCACAACTCAGTCCCATCTCCATCTCTCACTCTCTCATCCATCTCCGACGAAATCCGTCCCTATCTCCGACGAAATCCATCTATCTCCATCTCTCAAAGCCACCCTCACAATCAGAAATGGAAAATCAACCAAATCAACCAACGAGGGTTAGTTTTTTTAAT